TACCACCATTCTGGTCTTCTGTGTGTATAGAGATACACGTTGACTGATACTGGGAACTAGGACGTCAACAGGTGAAAGTGGGGATGGATGTCTGTGTATGTGACGGAATGTAGCATTGTTCTGGGATACCTATAATCTACTGTATTGAGTTCTAATATTCACGAATGGGGTTTCATGTATAAGGATGACTGCTATGCTGCGACACTTGCAATACTGCATATGTACTCTGCTTCATGGCTCTCGTTCAAGATAAGAGATAAGACCCACGTGGTATTGTAGTTGGGGTAAAATGGGGTTGGTTCATCTCTTCTTCTACGCTACTCCCGGCGCCTTATATACCTTGCGTCCCCCACTATGGAAAGTACTAGAATACCCCTGTGCTTAGTGAGCACGCCCCTGGTAGTATATACTGGAAGTTTCTACTGTCTTCCCCCGCTTACTAATACAGCTACAAGGACTCCCTTACTCCTATATACTAGAATATTCTGGAACTATGAAGTGTCGGTCATCACCGAATGACACGTGGGACACCACATGGGTTTCCCTGATTGGGCCCAGCGGCTCATGAAAGGTATACAAGAATCCTTGACCGTGAAAATTTGCTACCCCCACTTGGGAAATAAAGAAATCCAAAAAACAAAAGATATCCCATTCAGCTTATAAGCTTGTCCATCTGTTGTCCACGAGTCGCCCATCCACTAGGTAAAGACATACCTTGCATATTCCTTTCTAAGGCCTTGTACCGCACTTGTACATTGCTAGAACAGTGCCTTCAGGTTGTTGTCATCATTCTTTGATACACAACTCATTGGTAGTCCTCTGTCTGAGCATTGCCAATTAATTGTTGCTTTGTGAAAGTCCATCATCTACGCAATCACCTACCCATTGCTTTGCTCGATGTCAGCACTATCGGGGACAGGCCGTCGCAGTCTTCTACATTGAACTTCACACAATTGAAGTAGTTGACTGACACATCATTATCAGCTGTCATCCACCCCCACTTCACCTCACACTTTGTCCAACATGGGCGGCTCCGGGTTCAACTTCTTCCCCCACTACTTCACCGGCAAAAGCCATCTGCTCAACAGATTCATTGCCCACTTGGCCATCGCCATGGGCCTCCAAGAGCGAGCCTTCCCCAATGACACTGTCAAGGTCCTTTACGCCTGCTTGTATATGTGAGGCGAGGCGAGGCCTTTGATTGGTAAGTGTGCTACGCCATGATGCCGGAGGAGAAGCAGCCAGTGTGGTGATCAGGCCTGCTCTGGGGGGACAGCTGAAAGTATCACCAAGTGTTTGTTGAGGGTTGAGTCCAAGTACGTGAAGAGGAAAACACAAGTGTGCTTGGATGCGGTCTTGGAAGGAGTTGTAGAGGTTAAGGAAGAAGAGGAGGGGAGAGAAGAGAGTCAAAGAAGTGATGAGGTCTCTGTCTCCACACCCAGCCTTTCTTATATACATGAATAAGTGACGTGACGATAGACGGGACGGCTACGAGGAACGTCTACGGCACGAAGCGAATAAGGGTATGGGTCGACCAGCGAAGCGTACAGAAAGGCTAAAGACAATAAGAAAGGAGAGACGGGTGGAAGAAAGTAAGGGTAACGAATATGGGCGTGTCGACGTACGTCGGACAGCCTAGAGAGAAGAGAGGAAGAAGATGAGAACGAGTAGAGGTAACGAAGACGGAGACGAAGATGAAGGCGAGCAAAGCTAAAAAGAGTCCATGGGGCGTGCAGGCGCCCAGCACGCTATAGCCAGAGTGGTTCAGGAACTATGACAAGTTTATCGAGGAGATGAAGTGTACGTTCACGGAGGAGATCAGCCAAGAATGTGCGAAGAGGCGACAAGGTTACTACCGCCGAGCCCGGCTTGAAATCGAGGGGAAGGGGTATTTTGGATGGTTTGGAGTCGGACATGCCATACTGCTCGAGAAGATTCTCAAGGTAATGCCCTTGAGAGATAAGCAGTTTGCCAGCCGAACGATCACGATGGATATTGAAACCCAGAAAATATTGGGCGGGCCCAGTGTCAGAGCATTCAAAGGCGTGATTGAGCTCATCTTTGAATTTGTTGAGAGCTTCTCGACTGTCTGAAGCAATAAGTTGATCATCAACATGCACAGAGAGAAGGAGCCATGCCCCATTGCAACGACGGGAATAGAGACACGAGTCGGCTAGGGAAGGTGTGAAACCCTGGCTGCGAAGCCACTTGTCAAAAGCCTGATTGAAACAGCGGGGAGACTGTTTGAGGCCGTAAAGGAATTTGCGGAGGCGAAGCACATTCCCTACAGGGATATTGGAGCCTTCAGGGGGGTCCATATAGATAGTTTCCTCGAGGTCGCCATTGAGAAAGGCAGCTTTGATATTGACCTGATCACACTCTAGGTCATAGTAGTTGACAAGAGCCAAGAGGATACGGATGGTGTCTTTGTGCGCAACCGCAGCGAAGAGGTCGTGATAGTCAACCCCCGCAATCTGACTATACCCTTTAGCAACCCAACGGGCCTTGTAGGCTGCAGGCTTGCCGGTAATTCTAAACAGAACTACGGAGTCTTGTTATTTTGGTTGTCCCAGCCAGCAAGCTTTCCCCCTTCCCTGAATTACTCCACCCGCACCCGCACCCACCTCAGAGACAGCCCGCTATGTCTACGTCAGGGGAGACGCACACCATTCTCCAGGGAACCCACAATTACACTACCTGGGCCCTCGATACCAAAGCCCACCTTCGCAAACACTTCCTCTTCGATTTCGTCATCGGAAAATCTACCCCCGCCGCTGGCGCCGACACTACTACTACCCCCGCCACTGGCGCCAACACCCCTGCTCCTCCCACCGCTGGAGGCGGGAAACTCACGTCCGAACAAGCCAATGAAAAGGCTTGGGGTCTCATCATTGAGACCCTTTCCGCCGACATCAAATGTGGCCTGTCTCCCGAGGCCCAAGACGACGATGCTCGCCTGTTGTGGACCGAGCTCCGCGAGGCCTATGCCCGGGACTTGCCTGTTCACCTGAACAGCCTCTGTCGCACCCTCTTTCGGACCGAGGTCACAGCTCAAGAGGATCCTGTCCCCCAACTGGCGCGTGGGTGTCGGCGCCAGCGGCGGGGGTAGATTTTCCGATGACAAAATTGAAGAGGAAGTGTTTGCGAAGGTGGGCTTTGGTATCGAGGGCCCAGGCAGTGTAATTGTGGGTTCCCTGGAGAATGGTGCGCGTCTCCCCTGACATAGACATAGCGGGCTGTCTCTGAGGTGGGTGCGGGTGCGGGTGGAGTAATTCAGGGAAGGGGGAAAGCTTGCTGGCTGGGACAACCAAAATAACAAGACTCCGTAGTTCTGTTTAGAATAGGCTCATAACCTGTCAGAACTGGAGAACTCCTTGTCAGTGCTTGTACAGCAGCTTGAGACAATATTCATGAACATACCTGGAGAACTCCTTGTCAGTGATATTCATGAACATACCTGGAGAACTCCTTGTCAGTGCTTGTACAGCAGCTTGAGACGATGAGGAGACTCCAGACAGGGTAGCTAATCTGTATACGGCATGGCAGGGAGCATAGAGCGTCACCAGTAATTACGTAATTCCTTTTATTCTAAATCTCTCTGAAACGCCGATTCCTACGTCTGTACCTATTCTTCGGCTGGACTCCGACAATCCCTAAGGGCTCATCTGCTGGGTCCGTCCGAACCCTACCGCACCTGGCAGGCTGGTACTGCCTGTGCTGGTTCGGACAATCGTACTTTTGTTTGACCGAGCTTTTTGAAATGATCGTCGCCCGCTTCTTCTCTGATCGAGAACTCAAGATATCTAAATAGGGCTGCTACCAAAGTGCACATCTTGTAATCATCTCTTTGGATAGTTGATAGCCAGAAACTTCAAAATAAAAATATAGCAGACTTGGCGTACTACAGATAGGCGAATAGGGCCGCTTCCAAAGTGCACAACTTATGATCATCTCATTGGATAGCCGGTGACCAGAAAATCCGAAATTTGCAAACATAGACAAGTAGAGATGTAAGAGTACTGAGAGAGGCTCCTGGAATGAATCCGTTTGTAACTTGAAGAGTAATAATTGGAATGTCTTGCACGCAACTTCATGCCTCTTGCTGGTCTCTTGCTCCGCGCGACCTGTATTTCGTTAGATCATACTGCTGCCGTCATCAATCATTCCTGCGTGTACATTTATGGACAGTCCCCGCAAACCATCCGGACAAAACGTCACATGAAGCACCCGTGAAACCCATACATGTCGCCTAAAAGCCGCCCAACCGTTTCTTGCTCTTCTTCTTCTTCTCTAACTTGCCTCCAAACTTGCCCCTTTCCACCTGCGTACTCGCCCACTCTGCCCCTTGACTCTGACTTTGGCTCTGAATCTGCCCCGCTCCACTGAGCTCCTGACTGCCACCGCCATCCCATCCGGGCGGCGGAGATGATCTCGCCTGTGCCGGCATGCGACTAAGCGAAGGAAGTGAGTGAGAGGTCGAGAGGGTAGGGGGTACGAGGTGTGAGAACTGATGAGGCTCGGGTGTGTTGGGCGATGGTAGCGCGAGGTTGGATAGCGTTCGTGAAGATGGAAGAGGACGGATAGGTCGAGCCGTTTGAATCGTTGGGAGGGGAGGGGCACGTTGGCTGGTGGAAGATTGAGTCGCTCGAGGAAATGGGGTGGTATGACTTTGGTCGAGGTTCCAATCTTCCCACACCCATGTAGCTGGGTCTTCTCCCACTTTCCAGCCCTCCATTAACGCTTTCGCACTGCGACTCTGCAAGTCTGCTTCCACCGCCGCCCTTTCAGCCTCTTCACCTTCCTCGTCCGCCCATTCTTCTTCACCATTTCCTGCATCTTCACCTCGAAGAGTAAGACGAGGTTGAAGTACGTTGAACTGTATTCTCCCCGGCCCGGACTCATCCAATGTCAAACGGCTCGCAGCTTGCACAAACTGCTCTACCTCATCCCTTCTCTGTACCTCTGCTTGCTCGTCTTCCAGAGCTTGGTCGTGTGCCGATTTGGGGATCGGAAGAAAGTCTTCGGGAGAGATGACTTTGCTAAAGAGGAAGAGGGAGAGGACGAGCTGGGCTGTAGCGTGTTTGTCCCTAGCGCTTTGAGGTGGGAAGGCCTCGCAGAGGGAATCGTACAGCGTTACGGGATCGATGTCGTCTTTCGATAGAGGAGGCTGAGCGCTTGCTAGAGCGGGGAGGAAGGATTGGAGGTCAAGTAAAGAGGTGAGGTGCTTGCTGAAATCGATCTTGCCAAGGGCTTCAAGAGTAGGGCGAATGGAAGAAGGGTGCAGAGGTATAGGGAGTATCTTGCTGACTTTGCCTTCCTTCTCCTTCTCTTGGCCATTCTCGGCACGCTCGGGTTCTGAAAAAGGTACCAGCGAGTCTCTTGCTAATTCGGCTCTTCGTGGGCGTTAGCGCAGTCTTATACCGATGGAGGCAGTACTCACACAGTCATCACGCTCTCCACAGGCGCTTCCGTCTCTCTCAAATACCTCTCAAACAATTCGGGGACGAACCATCGTTCCTCTGCCACCTCGCTCTCATCATCGTCCCATTGCCCCTCTTCTCCATCGGACATCATCTGCACATCCGCATCCTCATCTTCTTCCTCAATGTCCGCCTGTGCGAAATCGAGTCCCTCGGCTTCGGAATTCTCTCCAGAATCGGACCCATCGTCGTCTTTGCCGATAGCAAGCCAGGCCCACCTGAGGTTCAACTCTCGGAAACCGACTTTTGCTTTCTCTTCCCATCCATCGCCGGCGCCAAATTCGTTCCTGTCGTCCTTTTTCGCCAGCTCAGAGACGGTATCGTCCCAGGAGGTTGGAATTGGTTCGAGCGGCTTTTGTTTCTCTGCCGAAGGAGGGAGAGGGGTCGTAGCGCTCAAAGGGATATAGCTCAAGGTGCCATCGTCCGACAGACCGAGCAGAGACGAAAGATGGCGGTTGGGTGATATTGACAGGCTCGTCAACGTCGTAGGGATGCTCTCTGGGGGAAGATTGAGAGATAGCGCGTAGGGTTGACCGATGAAACGTAGAGGCCCGGATTTGGGGGTTGTAAAGACGGTTATGAACGAGTCGGAGGCTGAGTACAGGAGGGTGGTACACTCGCCTGTGTGATGCGTCAGCTTGATCAACTGGCACGATGAAGTTGGCATACCCTTGTTCACCCCGGGCAGGACAATGATCTCCATGCCATCCGCACCCTCATACCCATGTTTCCACCCCAAACTCGGGACTCCCTTGCCCGTCTCGTCGATCCAAAACACCTCGTGGGTAGTGCACATCACCGTCCACTTGCTGCCCCTCGCAGCTGCAGTCCTCTCAATACCGAGAAAGCGACGTGTGGGACCATTTAGCGTCATAAGACTCCTAGTAGGGTGGTCGGGATCGTCGATATCGATAATTGTCGCTTCTCTTGCAGAAACGACTATCGCAGTCCCCGGCCTCGTCCCAAAAGCCACCCCCCAAAACCTTTCTCCTTCCTCCTCTTCCTCCTCGACAGCCTCTCGTACCTTTCTCAGCTTCATAACCTTTTCCAACCTCCCGCCTTTAGTCTCCTTTTCCTCCCACCACAACCAGACACCACCGCCTTCATCGACCACCAACGCTCTTGACCATATCTCGGCGTCTAGGGCGATGTTGATGTGTTTGCGGGATTCAGTATCGACGTAGGATAGTTGGGCTGTACGTGTTGAGGAGAAGGGCGAGGGGGTAGATGAGAGGGGGTGAATGTTGAGGAGGTGGGTGGTGGTTTGAAGACGGACGATGAGGGCTGTAGCGTCTCCTACATCTTGTCAACCAAACCCTGGCAGCGGTGTTGGTACTCACGGTCTATACGAGATGTTGAGACCACATCGGAAGAGCATATTTGCAGTATAGGCGTCGGGAATTCGTCTGCTGGAGTGGTAGTAGGGGCAAAGCGGAAACGAGTCCGCCGTTCTACTTTGGCCATGGTTGCGGGCATGAACGGCGAGATGTCTGATATGTATAAGCCAACTGTCCGCCATTAGACAAGACTTGGACTCACTGAGCTGATGCCCCACTTTCCCGGTCGGGAACGCCACAAAACTTCTCGCTGGTCTTCCCTTCGGATTCTGTACAACCACCACCCTGGCACCTCTGTACACATCCCTCTTCTTGTTCATCTCTGGGTTGAGGTCGAGGTCCAGATGCGGCCAGCCGGGTTGTTTGGACGTGCCCGATGGACCGGCGGAAGGAAAGTCTTCAGTAAGGATTTCTGTGATGACGTCTCGTAGGCCATCGCGTTCGTAAGGGAGACAGAGCGATTCAGCGTATTGCACCTATTCCTATCAGCTCTGACTTTTTGACCTTCTGGGACGCGTGCTCACAGAGCTCTGAAGAACATCCTCGAAAGGCATACCCATCCCCTCTGTCTCAGTCGAGATCGTCCCGGGAAAGTATGTGGCTGCCTTCCCAGTAGACCACCTCCCCTCTTTCGTCCCTCCCTTCGGATCTTCCAAACTCCAATTCCAACCCCACCCTCCTCTCTTATCCCTATCCAGCCTGACCCCCGCCTGTTTCCCAAACCCTCCCACTGCACCCCCAACACCAACATCATCCGTAATCCCTCCTCTCTGATCATCTTTGTAAACTGAATTCTTGCCCTTGCCTTTGCGAAGCTGAGATTGAGAAGGTTGGGTCGGGTCGAGCTCGTCTTCTTGAGATCCTTCTTGGAATGCGCGGTGGTGGCGCTTAGTGCGGGGGAGGTGCAGGTGGTGCACCGAGGGGGGGAAAGCCATATGCCGGTGGATTGTGATGAAGGGAGGAATGAAAGAGGAGATGCGCGCAAAAGTTGCCGACGGTCTCAACTTGGGCCGATTACCCAGTCCGAATTTGATATGTATTAAAGAGCCTGATATGATTTGGGATGCTGCATTTCTTGGCCCAGTACATGTGTTGAATATGACAAGGCTACCAATTGCTTTACAAAGAGAAACACAACGTATGTATAAGGACACAAGGGGAAGTAAAGTAGTTTATATACCTGATAGTAAACATGTTGAAGAATAGATGTACAACTGAAGGAATGCTTGTCACAAAAAACCCAAAGAACCATCGACTAACTGTTATTGAGACGCTGAGTCCTTCTTTTCGTCATCATCTCGTAGGCGCATGTAGTAATGCACTAGCCCCTGGACCAGAGATTCAAAGACCTTCGAGGATTACACCAAAGCCATCCTCCTCCTCCCTACCACCCCACCCCTAAATTTCCCCATCCCCCCAACACGCTTCAGAGCCTGCGCCCTCTGTATCTGCCCAAACGCCTCAAGGATATGGCACGGCTGCAACGGCTGGCGCGCAGAAGGCGGAGGAGCAAAGAGGGATGGCGGGTTGGGCGGGTGGGCGGGTTTGGGCGGTTCGTCGGATGCAGGGAGGTCGGAAGGTTCTTTGATCGGAGATGAAAGGGGCGCGGGGGGTTTGGTGGGTGATGATTGGGGATCACCGCCATTGGAAGAAGTCTTCTTCTCCATCGCTACCCCTCCCGCGCCGGCAGCACCAGTCACTTTGGTCTTTTCCAACCTCTCCCTCAAGTCCAACGCCGTCACACACAAACTTCTGACCATCTCGAAAGCGAGGAAACCGAGGATATCGACGATATCGTCGTTTGGACGGACGTCGAGGTAGGCGCCAAAGTTTATGAATTCGCGGAAACGGCGGGCACGGCGGTATGTGAAGGAGGCCTGGCGGCATTCAGAGTATTGGGCGTATTCGCCTTTTGTCATCTTCTTCGTGATTTCGTCGGCTTCCTAGGAGCCATGTCAGCATTATACGACAAGATGGTGAGAGACGAGGGCTTACTTTTAGACGCTGCATGGAATCCTCGTATGCCTGCAGCTCGTCGTCGTCTTCCTCTTCATCCTCTTCTTTGCCCGGTATACTCCTCAAGAAGGCAGTGAACGGCGTCAACAGCTCCCAAGGCAGCTTGACCATCTGTCTCCTCCCTTTCAGACCCTTATCATCCTCCCCTCCTCCTCCTTCCTCCAAATCAACATCCTCCCCTTGCCCTGCTCTCTCCGCTTCCTCCTTTGCCCTCTTACGTACATCTTTCCAAGACAGATACGTGCGCAGGCGGTTCACTTTCGCGCGGTCGTCTCGGATTAAGAAGATGAGGTCTTCAGGGGAGAGAAAGCGGGATGAGCGGAGGTGGGTTAGGAGACGGGCGCGGGTGACGATTTCAATTATTTGGGAGCGGACGATATCTTCGACGAGTTTGACTGTTTCGGAGAGGGGAGTTTGGACTTCGCCAAAGACAAACATCTGGGAGGGGAGTTAGCATGCTATTTTGGGGTAGACGTATGCCGGTTCGATGGCGGTTGTCAGAGTTGACTACCCAGCAGAAGATTTTGCGCGAGAGGCAGATTTCTAATGCCTTTGGTCTGAGAACAATGGGATAGGGGTTGTTGGGAAGTAAGGCAATATGTTTGCCCGAATCCACCCACGCCAAACACGTCGATACACCTCCCAACAATCATCGACAGACAGGAAGTGACATACCATTTGCCTTATCTCGACCATGTACTTATAGTCGCCCATATCATCCCACCCCCACGCCCCAGCGCCACTCGCCTTCTTCTTGTTCGGCCCTGGTCCACGCCGTTTATCATCCTCGTCCTCGTCATCCGAGTCTTCCTCGAGCGGGGGTGTGCTCCTCTTGCGGACGCGGGATGAATTTGGGAAGGCCGGGGGGGGCGGCGGGTGCGGGGAGGGGGTGTGGGCGGTGTGGTGCATGGCAGGGAGGGCGAGGGAGGACATGGCGGGGGGAGATGGAGATGAGAGGGGATAAGAAATGGGATGGGTGCATTGATAGAACGTGTCCGGACATGTTCGCTTCTTATCAGGCGCTTATTATCCCTGTCCGTCAGTGCCAGCGTGCTCTCCCGTCCTATCTGCCATGCACAAGCGAGCGCACACAAGCCACTCTCGAGTCTCGCCCGACTATCGTCTACTATCGCCGCCTGGCCCCTCGTTAACCTGACACCCGATTGATCTCGCAATTATACATATATACTTCCGATAACATTACTCTCAATGGCGTCTCGGCGGCATCTTGATTCGTTCGACTTGTCGTCTCTTTGACCTGGCCTTTTTGACTGGATGGAAACTGGAGTGTTACTGAGCATAGGATATGGCACCTCGAGAGGGTCAGTAAGGCAGAGCGGACTACAATGCTGTACATGCAGAGAGACATAACTGAGCTGGGTGACGGCATCCAAACGACCCAACGTCTGACGCGCTTCGCTTCTTGCTTGTTTACCACCTGCCTCTGGGATCTTTAGACAGTGTACTCGAGTAAAGTACCCGGGCCAGGGAAGACTGAAGGGGTACGTACAAGCGGCCGAGTCAGTGCCCTAGTGGCACCAGAGTTCACCAGCATCTGCGACAATGCAGGCTCAAGAGATTCAAAGAAGCAATTGAAACGTTTGTTATTGGATGACAGCTGAAGAACATTGACAGAAGATGGCCCCACCGCCCTTACCACCTTTATTTTTTGAGCCCCGCTCGTGTCTTATATTTCGGTTACTCTGCCGTGGCCGCCGTGGTCTTTTGCCGTCTTGCCGAGAGCAGACGAGCACCTCGTCTAGAAAGATGATCTCTTTGCTTGTTGATTCGCCCAAAGTTTACCAACATTTAAAAACAGGTCGTTTCTTCTATTAGCAGTTGAGCCAACCGATGTGGCCAATGTAGCCATTTGTATTACGCTTGCTTAGGCCGATGCATGGTCCAAAGCGGTGGGTGATTGGGGCATAGTTGTTGCTGAGGGCTGGCGTTCCGGTGATGGTAGCGAAAAAAGAACTAAGAGAGTTATTCATGGTTTGTGCTGCCAAAGATAACCGATGCCGTAGTACGCAAGCTCTCTCTTCTCATATTCGCTCATCCTCCATGCGATCCATGCGGACTTGCGGAGCACGCGAAGCAAAGAAGCAAGCGCTTGGCCTTTGGCCTTTGGTGTCCTGTCCAATCCCCGTGATCCCCGTACGATTTGTAGTCCGTCATGAATTCATGATTCCATGCAGTTGGTTTTGGACTCCCCACAAACAAGCCCACCGAAGGCCGAAAGATAACTTAAAGACGACCCGTGCTTTCCCATCATGTCCATGTCCGTGTTGGCGTGTCCGGCCCGGTCACGGCCGCCGATATGATCGGTCCAGACCCGTCTTATCCGAACGCAAAAGTGGAACCGAAAAGTGGAACCGAAAGGTGTGGCTCAAGACCCGACGATAGCCGTCTTGCTTCAAATTCTCGGGCCTTGGGCCTTGGGGTCCCACTCAGGCGTACTATATGCATGAATCTCGATGTCGGCAAAAGACGTTCATGAACGGTGTCGCCTCGCCTCGACGTGCTGGTTGTACAAGTCACAAAGCGATATAGGAAGAGCAACCGACCCCGTCAAGGCCGTCGGCCGTTGGCCTTGATAGGTACATATGATGAGCAGGCGTTCTCGTCATGAGGCGTTATCTTGCCGTCATCACATGCGCAGATTAAAGTCGCGTTTGCGGGTCGTATCTTTTCGGCTCTGGCGCTCTTGAAGGCGCTCAGGGTGGCTTTCTCTTGTCAGTTGTCCGTTGCAGATGTCACGGGTTGAGCGTTGTGGTGTGTACTTGGTCTGGACTCGCCCTTTGGTGCCAGATTTTCATGTCCAACAGAAGGTACACCAGAGATGCACCAGATCTCGGTCCTTTCGCGAGAGGATGGATGAGACAGAGGGTGCGAATGTGTGTCTATCTGCTTAGCATGATCTTGGTATGAAGTGACATGTCGCGGCCGCCCGAGACAGACGGATGATCCATGATATGATTTCGAGCCCTCGGAAACCGAACATCGATTGCTGACGACTCTGTCAATTCTCACTCAACTATTTCCTCGCTTCTGCTTCCTCGGCCTTGTCCGATGCTTTCTCATCATCACTCCCTTTGCGTATCGCACCGCCATATGCCTGTATGCCATGTGCAAGCCCGGCGTGATAAGACGAAGAAGGTACCATGCTGGCGCATGCTCTTATCCTAGTTCTTATCTTCGTTTGTCGCCAATGCCGACGAGGATAGCGGCCATCTCATCCGAGTCCCCGGCTCCCGAGCGCTTGCGGCTTGCGTTGTATTTTGGCTGATTGGATCCGAGGAATATCTATTGTGGTGCTCCCGAGTGTCGCTTGAGTGTTGATATGCTATCACCTCTTATCACGAGCGTGGGCTAGTTTACGAGCCCGGGCAGGTGAGTCTGTATGAGCTTTGATACATTTATGATATCCGGGATCGCTTGTTTGAATAGCTGTAGTCGTGCCGTTGCACTCTCGCTCCACCTGTTCTTGCATTATGATACATATTCGACGATGTACGATGACAATGAATAGCGCTAATGATTTTGGACGACTATCGGTCATTTTTGACAATTATCCGCCATTTTTGGTTTGCAGAATAGCCTGTCCGGGCAGTCAGAAACGGGGGAGTGAGAAGTAGTTAACACCATGCCTGGGGGGACGGAGAGTGGTGTAGATGGAGGTAGAGTTGCAAGAATTGAACTGGAATGTTGATTGAATGAGCCCACGCGTCGCGTCTGACTAGGCACCGAGATGACTGCATTTACGCGTTTCGCGTTCGGTGGAGGCAGTCCGTGCGGTGTCACGGTCAACCTCGTTTCCTCTTTCTATCTCTTTTACATCTACATCTTGTCTTGCCTTTCTTTCTCCCGTCCCTTCTTGCTGCTGGCCCACCATGGAGCGACACCCCCTCACCGCCCTCCACGGCAACCAACCCCCCTCTCCCCACGCGTCCACCTTTGACAACGCGTCTCGCAAACGCACCAAGCTCGCTCCCATTTTCGCACGCAACAAAAGAGCTCAACCCAGCTCCAGCCCTCTTTCTGGTCAAGAGAATGCGACGCCGTCAAACAGCCAGGGCCCGAGACGCGTGGTAGACAGGTCGAGCCCTCTGTCGCCAACGCGGTTCCACATCCGGAACGACGCGCCCTCATCCCTTCACTCTGCTTCGACCACCGAAGACTCTTCTGACGAGGAAGATCTACCAAGTTCAGTATTTGGAGGCCACAGACGCAAGATTCAACACTACTTTACCCCCAGTACCTCTTCGAGTTCGCGCCCGCAAGAAAAGGAGAGACGCGTTGAACCATTGGCTGTTGTGGAGCCAGCAGTGGAGTCGAGCGCGTGGAAGCGTCGTAGAAGACGCCTGGGTGTCAATTCACGAGGGACAGGGTTAGATGCCATCAACTGTATGTCGGCTTTTGGCTGTGCGATCAATGCTGACTGGGTCGCAGTGATACCTCCACAGCCTCCATATCTGCGCGAACTCTGGCACTCTCTGGCACCATACCACCCCGAAGAACCACCATCTTCTCTCTTCTTACCATCTATCCACCCCCCGAACGGCATCGCTCGCGACTATTCACCTCCCTTGACTATCACTTTCAGCCATACCGCCAAACGGTACACGTCCCACGAGGCTCGCGGCCAAGGCCTGCGCAGACTGATAGCAGTCGGCAATGAAGAAGGAGGGTTGAGGATTGTGGATTTTGATGAAGGTCTTGGGATGCATAGGGAGGAGAAGGGGTGGTGGTGGAGAGCTCATTCCAATACGGTGTTTGATCTGAAGTGGTCGGCAGATGATACTCGCATCGTACGTGTTTTGATGTCAAGACGCGTCCATACTGACTCTACAACAGCTTACCGGGTCTGGCGATGGAACATCACGGATTCATGCACTTACGACCCCTACACCCACCCTCCTTGCAACTCTCCGCGGCCACACGGCCTCTGTAAAGACGGTCACATTCCTCGACCCGACGCGTTCTGCGGAACCGTCCATGTCTTCCTCCATCGTCGCGTCGAGTGGGCGAGATGGCAACATCTTGATTTTTGATGTGAGAACCAAGGGACGGATGGTGGAAGGATCCGACGATGGACGGGGGTCGAGGGAAGGGTCGAGGGACAGGTATATGAATGGTGTACCGGGGTGGGCGGCGCAAACTGGTGGAGATGTTTTGGATCCTGTGATGACTATCAAATCGGCTCATGGAGACCGTCGGACCTCAAGCGTGAGTACAGAATGACACGAAATGAGTTTTACTGACACCAGACAGCGCTCTGCGACGCGTTCCGTCACCTCCCTCCTCGCTCTGAATTCCATTCCTGGCACTCTTGCGTCAGGCGGGTCATTCGACGGTATCGTCAAACTCTGGGACCTCCGTTTCCCCGCCCCAACACCCCGTTCCCCCAACCCGCGTCCATCTTGCACTTCCTCAGGCGTCTTGCCAGACTGCACCCTCAGCGGCGATTCCCCAAGCAAACGCCCGAGGAGCATCAACGCCATGGTTGAAAGCCCTTCCACGGGGGACATTTACGCTCTATGCGGGGATTCCAAAGTTCACGTCATCCGTCCTTCCGCTGCCCTCTCTCCTGAGGAAATGGCAGAAGCGACCCTGGACCAAGTGGCAGAAGCCATCCAACCCCAAAAATTCACCCACCCCGACCTGCTTATCAACTCGTTCTACATCCGTCTCTCCATCTCTCCTGACGGGCGATACCTCGCTACAAGCTCGCCCCGGAGCGGACAACTAGCATGGGATACCCAGTCGCCTAACGTGGCGGCGGAGACGTATGGATGGAAAGGGAGGGAGGTTGGGGCGATGGATTGGGGGAAGGAAGTTTTGGCGGTTTCGGGGGATGATTGTGGGGCGCATTTGTATCGGTATAAGCCGGAGGTGGGGAGGTTTTCGAGAGGGGAGAAGGGGTTTGAAGAGTT